CAGTCATTCAAATAAAAATATATCTAAAAATTTATCATTGTAAAATTTAGTTGTAAAAAGAGTCACTAAGTTACATATATTATACATGTATCTTATCACTCAATCGTTTTGATTGTCTCTAATGAAGTATCATCTGCAATATTATAAACTTTTAGAATTCTTTTAGGAGTTTTTATCAATTATAAACTTCTTAAAATTTTAATATTATGTAAATAATCTCCATATTGGGGGGAATAATCACGTTCTGATCATCATCATGAATGAACTCGATTTTTTTTTTTTACATGATCCATAATATAAACAGAAAGATTAATTTCATAACTCGTAATACTATAAAAACTAACATTATTATTAAGACTCCACTTGATTTACCTATCAAAAAAGAGAAAAATGTACTATATGTAAATTAAATATCTTTATACACCTTAGACATTAGATAATCATATATGATGTAATGCACTTTTATTTCTAAAATAACATCTTACGCATTAATCAGCATTCATTATGTGACATCGTCTTCTTTTAGCATCCGTCAAGAGACAATCAAAAGGGAAGAACTATATGAAATTTTCGATGCACGTAAGAATCATTAATATCCAAATAGTCTTCTATAACCAATCGGGTTGATTTGGTATAATTGTAGTGAGAAAATAATAAAACAAATTTAACTGAGATGATTCCTTCACCAATTAATACCCAAATTAGTTTATATGGAACCACTTTATGTCTTGTCCTAACATAGGCAATTAGATCGAGATTCGTCAATTTGTTGTGATAGATAAGTGAAAGTCAGAATACTTAAATCAACTTATTTTATCGTACCAAATTCGAATATACTCATTTTAGTTCAAACTCAAATATATGCTACCCAAAAAAATTCAAATCTTAAATTTTTTAATATAATAAATAAAAAATTAGTGAAGTTAAAAGAATAATAAACTAATAACAAGGATAAAGTAAATTGTTAAAGTATTAATGAAAAATATGACTCCACGAGTGCCTAACCGGCCTACTCCAAGCTCAACCCATCTCTGCCTAACCAATGAGCCGACTGAACTGCCCTCTTGAACTCTTTCTTGTGTTCCAAGAAACTTTCTAAACACAAATGTAATAAAACATAATTCTTTTCTTTATGGTAATTGTCTTTTAGTTTCATTTACTTTTGAATTCTATATTTTTATATTTGAATATCATAAATGTAATAAAACATGTAACGGCCCCGGAAATATCAAAATGAAATGGGTATTTAAATATATCAAATGCGGAAGCGAGATCAAAATTTCAGTTAACATCCCTTACACGAAAAACCAAAAACGTACTTAAAATATAAAAGATTAAACTAACTAAGAAAGAAACTCGAAAATAAAACTATGAGTATGACTACAGAGTCTCTAGCCATCCCCTTCGTCGTCCTCCTGCGGAACGGGCTCGGGAACCATGTCTTCCTGATCTGAAATGGTTAAATAAAGAGTGAGCTACACTAGCCCAGTAAGAACATCACGATATCTCACCGTCACGGAGGTAAAGGTGGGTAGAAAAACACAAAAGACCAATGGAGCATAATTTACAACAAACTCGTTTATTAACATGAAAACCTTTACCATCCACTTACCTCGGTGGAATTTATGAAAACAATATAAGAAAGACAATAACATTATCATAATCATTGAATAATATGAGCTGTAAAACATAACACTTATCACGCCTCTTGTAATTCAATCATTGTACAACATATCCTTTTCTCATTTACCAGCCTACTAGTATCCGTGGGGGTCCATAGGGGTTCCGCTACCCGTTAACCTTTAACATTCATAATCAGTTTCCCAGGGCTGTCCCCATACCCCGTCCGGTATGGGCGCCAAAACCATGAACCTCAATACCCCGTCCGGTATGAGGGTGAAACGGGCCGTCCCCATACCCCGTCCGGTATGGGCGCCAAAACCATAAACCTCAATACCCCGTCCGGTATGAGGGTGAAACGGGCCGTCCCCATACCCCGTCTGGTATGGGCGCCAAAACCATAAGATCTCCATACCCCGTCCGGCATGTGAGACCACACTCCCGGTAGGGTTCCCTACGGACCCGGTCCGTCCACCATCTCCCAGGATATCTAGTCAGGCTGACCCCCATAATACAATTATCAGTCTACACAATCTTTCATTTTCCTTTTCCTCAGTCAGCATCATCAATTCACATACAAACAAGCAAAACAGTAATTCATGCCAAACAGACAACATACAGTATCAGTTTTTCAGTCATTCAACCCATGATTAATAAAAACGTAGTATATGCACACAAATCTGTAAAATGAACACATCAAACCTCATTTTGCATTTAAAGCTGTAAACAGGCCAAATAACAGTAAATCACCAATCACACTAGACTCGGGCTCCATTAGCCACCTTAAGCAATTTCACACATTCGTTAATTCAAGAAATACCGTTTTATCATTTTGAACTTTAATACCGTGATAGGAAATAGGGTGAGGGGTCCTTGCTTGTTTTCGGGATCCGAATACGATTCACAGTGCGCCTGCAGGCCGTCCCTAACTTTCCCTGAATTTTTTCCGGGGAACTGAAACACACTAACAGTACCTGCACGTGTTCCAAAAAAAATTACGGAAAACCGAAGCTTACCGGCGGCGGTGCTCTCGGGTGCGACGGCCCTCCGGTGAGGTTCGTGCTTTGGTGATTTGGCTCCGATCAATTGTGCAATGAAGGTTGGGTCTCGGTGATGATAAGCTGCAATGTATATGATTGCCGCTCGAAAATTAAGGACAGCAGAGAGAGAGCTTCTTCTGTGACAGAGATGGCCTGAGCTGCTTGGAGTCGCGCTGAAGAAAATACAGAGATGGGTGATATTTGTGTTTATGTCAATAAGTAGAGGCCAGTAATTGGTTCTGCGAGTAGAAGGAAAATAAAGAATGAGAAGAACAATTTGAGGGGATTTTTTTCTAAGTATTTTGCGAAGAGTCCATGGAGAAGATGAGCTCTCTCTCTCTTCTCGGCCTCCTCTCTCTCTCTACGCCCCTTTTGCCTCAAGGATTCCTCCTTTCTCTGTTTTCGAGTTTCGTTCTTTATAGTGGAGCGAAGCTATTTAGATCAGCATCCCCGCACTGAAGATTCTCCAAAAATCACGAAAACCCATCTCTTCCCGCTCGCGACGTGCACGTCCTTCCTTCCTTCTTCTTCTCCCGTTTTCTGCGCCACTACGCTGCTTATAGTGGAGCGAAACTGTTTAGATCAGCATCCTCGCACTGAAGATTCTCCAAAAATCACGAAAACCCATCTCTTCCCGCTCGCGACGTACACGTCTTTGCTTCCTTCTTCTTCTTCCGTTCTCTGCGCCACCATGCTCTTTTCCTTTTTTTTTTTTTGGCTGGATAAATAATTAATGAAGTAATTACAAAAATGCCCACGTTCTGGGATTACAAAACATATCAATGAATATTAATATTTATAATAAAAATTATTAATTAACATCATTATATATAGTCTTTAAATAACTGTATGTATTTAAAATAAGAACTTACTATTTATAACATTTTTCACTTAGAAACTAAACATTTTATGTTTCCTCGTATCAATATGCATATGCATGTAAATATATAAAAAGAATTAGAAAATATGCCAAAAAAAATTAATTGTCCAAACAACAATGCAACACAGAATTTTAACCTTAATACAACAAGACGGCAGGACAATGAAACATAGCACACAAGCTGACTTACAAGCATTGTACAAAAAACTAACGCCACTTATTTAGTTTAATTCCGAACACGATATGTAAAACATCTAACAATAGTTAAGATAGAATACGTGAGAGCACCTCTGATTACACACATGTTCTCGTATCGACTACAATCTAAACTTACCAGCCAGACACTACAGGCATTCTTAGAAACAAAATCTAAATAAAATAAGACATACTACTTACTGTTTTCTGATTAGACGCAAGCATTGCGTAAGCAGTAGTGCTCAGATACATGGCAACCTAGTCTCTCAAGATAAACGTAGTAAAATACAGCAGGCTATCAAGTAAAATATTTTCACAAAGTATGCATAGCGCCATGGAACCCCCGTTGAGAATTACGGGGGTGTCTCTGAAGGGAGACTTTAGATGTAAGTCTACAGAACATTCTAACTAATGTTTCTTTTAATGTACATAATAACACAGCTCCTTAGAAGGCACTCTCGCCTTCCTGATTATCACAGGAAGATAGGTTGTCAATGTTTCTGGCTGTACCGGCCGAAAGGCTTTGCCCAAAAACTTCCGATACTTGACATCCTGGTTCCATTCCCTGACTCTGGGCTTGAGATCAATGCCGAGAAACTTGGAGGTGTCGCTGCCTGATGGCTTTGCCCATAAAACCCATCCCTGGG